TGCCAGTGAGTTTAGCATCAGAACACCTGCCGTCAGGTGAGCGCTGTCGCTCTGCGGCACTTGTGTTTTCTCAATTTCGAAAACTAGTTTAAACACTAAGATTGGCTATTCGAAGTATTTTGTTATTATAATGTCAAACCACACTGAAAGCCTACCCTAGTCAGAAAATAACAGGACAATATTATTTTAGCTGACACTTTCACAGATGATAAATAGCAGGTTTTTATTCTGAAACCTGCGTAAAAATCATCTTGTCTAAGTGCTTTCTTTCAATAGAAACTATCATTGTAGGTCATAGATTGTTATGGTTGTTCAAGTACGTATAAATTAAGGCCATCTCAGTGCACATCACTTGATTAGGCTGCATTTCATGAACCCTTATCATTCTGTTTATATTGTCCCGTGCGACCGTTTGACCTTCAGTGCGTTACTGTATGTTGATCGCAGGAGTAAGGTCAGTAACAAAGACTGGTGAGAAGGTGATGTACCAACTGGAAGACCCAATCAATCAGGCCTTGTTTCCAGGACTGCAGGGAGGCCCACATAACAACCAGATCTCGTGTACGTTTTTCCTATATGTATTTAGCGGTAGTGAATTATTGCCGACACCGACTTCCTAAGCTGAATCAAATTGTTAGAGAGAAATTGATAGTTGTAAATCGAGAATTTTTTCATGTTTGATTTATAAGTTGGTACATTAATACACATACATAGATGTGTCACTGTTATCGAAGTGCTGCTAGCTAAGGAAATAACTTGCAAATCTGAGTTTATTGTATTTTATCTTTGACAATCTATGTGTTTTTATATTATTTTTGTGTACTATGTGAAGTGAAAATTAATTGAACAATTGCGGTTTCTCAGCTGTGTGTGTGGCCATGGGAGAAGCAAAAACTGACTACTACCGGGAATACCAACAGCAAGTGGTGAAGAATGCAGCTGCGATGGCAGAAGGACTGATGAAGCGAGGATATTCGATCGTAACAGGTGTGACAGCGAACTGGCTTCATTTGCTTCCTGTAACTATGATATAAATTAAGCCTGTAGACTGATAGTCCTGTAATGAGCAATCATGTTGATGCCCCGCTGAAGTGTCCAACAGTGCGTGAAATCAGCGCTATTTTGCCGGCAACCGCCTGTTCAACCCCTTAAACCGGCAGTTCAACCCCCCATATAATCAGTCCACTTGGCCTATTCAAAATTTTGCCTATCTTGCCTTTATATAAACAATATTTACCAATTTCTTGACTAGTTTTTACTTAGTGACTAATAAGAAGTAAATCATGTTCCAGCAATTCCTGTCACACAAGTAGAACTCCACTGATAGCAATGAAATATTGAAATACTACGAGTATGTCTAATACAGTGTAATAAACACAAAGCTAATACTTTTATTAATAATTGAATAAATTGAACACAATTAAGGGCCTGTTCAATTTGTCTAAGGGCCTGTTTAAAATGTTGGGTGGGCCTGTTCACAATTTTGGCTATTTTCATGCCCTGGTCCAATATATGCTTGGTGAATGAATTCAAGTATAAACTTTTATGCTTCTCGTTAGCTGTACAAGCATAAGCAGTTCCACTGCAAGTGCTCATCTTTATGCCATTATACAGCAAGCGCATCTCTCCTCCATGGTGTTGATCTGCCAAATCTTCTGCAAATAAAATACTGGGAATGTTGCCAACTATAGCAGCATGCCTTCATGCGATGCTAGCTGAACTGTTGATTGGGACTGCATGTTGATGTATTTGTAGGTGGTACCGACAATCACCTCATGCTACTGGATCTGAGACCAATTGGTCTCAATGGGGCAAGGATAGAAAGAGTGCTTGAAGATATACACATTGCTTGCAACAAGAACACATGCCCTGGAGACAAGAGTGCATTGAACCCAGGTGTGGCTCCCTTTAATTCACGAATAGCCACCCACTACTCGCCGCGTTGTTGCTGAAAATGAGTAACGGTACCAATAAAGCCTTGCTGTGTTATTGTCTTGGGTGTGGGCCCCGAAATAGTGTGTCATTTTGTCTCATTTGATATTCTAGTCACATTATTTTCTTGAAGATGCGTGACTAGTCACATAACCAGTTCAGGCAGGCATATAGTTTATGCTATTAACCTTGTAACCTATTTAAACCGCGTGAATTTATATCCTAGCATCTTTATACAAAATTGGTTACTGTACACATTTCTTATATACGGAGGCTATTATGAAGCATTCAAAGTGTTTAGTAGTTCCAAAAACTATAGTCTCGCCATCCTGTTCAATTATTAACTATAACTATAATATTATAAATATTTGTAAATTATTATGTATATTGTAAGTATGAATTCAAAATTACAGTGATTTATCTAAAAATTAAACTTTAATATTTCAGCTAAACCTGTAAACAAAAATCGGAATGTCATTTAACTCGTTGACAATTCATGCGACGGTTTCCTTACAGGTGGAGTGCGGTTGGGTACACCGGCCCTTACGTCGCGAGGCTTTGTCGAGGCAGATATTGAGCAGGTCGTGGAGTTTATCCATCGAGGTTTGTGAGCCTATAGACAATACCCCCCCCCCATAGATGTCATTTTATTGTTACAGAGCAATCTTGCGTCCTCAATCGCGATGTGATACGTGTCGGATTGTAATAATTTTCTGTGTATGGGAGGCCATGTGTGAAAGACCACTCTCTACCCTAACCGAGTCTTACCCAAGTTCGAGCCGAGCTTTGCGATTTAATGTCGATTTGTAGGTATAATGTATGAAGCATCAAATCGGAATGTAAATGTAAAATATTATAACAAAACGTTTGAAATGAATCTAAAACGTTTACAACAGTAACAGTTCTGACAGCCAATCTGTTTTGATCGTTTGATCGAGCCGTCACCAGATGGCAGCAGGCGACATCCATTCGAAACCTTATCAGCTGTTGTTGGTGGCAGCCCTTGTGAACAATTGTACGGCCTGGCCCTAAGGAAAATTTTGTAAAAGTGGGAGGGATTTTAAGAACCCCCCGTCTGCTGAGATAATCAAACTGTGGTTTGTAAGCATTACCGGTACAGTACGCCACATATAGAAACCACACAAGATAATCTTTGAGACAGGACTGTTGTGTAATTGTTAATTCATTCTTTGTGTTGACATTATCTGCTTTTCTGTCTGCCTTGTATGTGACCTGTGAGAATTAGTCCTCTCAATTAGCACCTGTATTACAACCAACGGTCACCAACAGCCGAATGGTTTTTGGATGGATGTTATACTATGAATTACCTACTGTGATGTGGTGACAGCGCAAACAAACGATCGATAAGTACACTCAACAAAGACAGTAGAGTAATTGCCAACAAAACTGTTGCTCCAGTGTATCTTTGGATTTCTTAAGTTTTTTATAAATAAAATGAAAACCGATGACATTAATCCAAGTGGTATGTAAATAGTAAATATTTTATTAAATATTAAGTGTACTTTCCCAACATATCCTGCCTGAAATGCCATGACCCTACACCAGGAAATATAACAGGCGGAGGCCAGCTATATAACAATCTATAACAATGCAATCAAATAGAACCAGATTATGGCTGGTGAAATTGCCAAGTTGAGATGTGTAAATGTAGAATAACATACTGTAACGGTACACCCGTCATTCACAAGGATTCGTTTTCATTTGTTGTATAACGCTGCATCGCTCTTAGTCCCAACAAATGGCAAGGCCATACGCCATTATTGAACTGGATCTCAGCAATCTCTTCTTTACCCACAGATGATCTCTTGTATTCGTGTTTACGTTTTTGCATGTGCTGCTTGTACAGGAATCCTGCTCGCGAAGGCGGTGAAGTCTGCAGCGAAGGGCACCATGCTCAAGGACTTCAAGGCGGCGTTGGAGACACCAGAGTTTCGCACCAAGACAGAAGCTCTTGGACAGGAAGTTCGAGAGTACGCTGCCAGGTTTCCGATCCCTGGTATTGATGAGTACTAGTTTAGCATGATAAGAAACGTCATTTTGCACATGCGCATTAACTTAATAATTGTAATTTGTAAACTTTAACCTATTAGCACAGGTATGTTGCCTGTAAATCATAGCTAAACGCACAAAATGTTATAGCTAAGGTGGGTACCATGTGCCAAATTTTGTATAATAGTGTCTACCGTCCACCAATGCAGATACATTTTGAAGGTGTTTGTTTGATTATTTAATGCTATGCACAATAAGTCACTATCTGAAGCTGCCTTGAATGCAACATGCAGCTCGTTGTGGGCAAGTGATATCAACTGCTCGTTTGTCGTGCATTTAGAGGCCATTACCAAGACAGCTTTTACAGAAGCATTGCTTATTTACCAAAGGTTATTACATCGAAGTGCAGTATTGAGGGTCCGTCGTTATTGTCTGCGAGTAGTGTTAGACGCAAACAATCGTCATGCCAGTAAAACATGCCATTGGAAAAGCTAGGGCATCTGCGTTAATGTAGTTCAAATTTGTGTATTTTTTCATGCGTAGATATAAATTGTATTCATGAATTTCATTGCTTTACACTTTTTGATGTTTTACAAGTTCACTTATATAAGGCCAATGTGTGCAGCTACTATGCATGGTAATTGGAGAAGCTGGCATTGCTAACTCATTTTTTGTAGTTTGCATATTTATTATATCAAGAATATATGATAAACAAATGAATGCAACTTAATAATGGAGGCAATTTTACCAGCTGTTTATCATGTGTTCTATTGAATCAGTCACTGTTGATTCCCTGGTATTCCTGATTATATTAATATAAAAGTTTGGAATAGATTTTTATATTCACAAAATTCATTCATAATTGTTTCTTTATAACTTACCAATATGTGAGTTTGTGTTTTGAATGTGTTGGTGTGACTTGATCTTCTCTAAAAATACATTATTTTTCTGTTGTTGCAATAATTACATGAAAACACACAACATACAATAATAGTATAATTATTCACACAAAAATATCATTACTACGAGTTTACATCAATGTCACACTGCACTAATTGTAAAATACCACAGGTCATACACGACCATAATTATTGCATAGACAACAGTGTATTGTACTAGTAAATATAAATTATGCACATTTAAAAGATTTGTGAAGAAAAATACAATCTGCTTAGTTCCTAGTATTTGTATGATATAACCTAGTGAAGGTTACATAATACTTTTTTCTGCTAAAGTGATATTTGCTTCCATTTTTGCTAGCATTTATAATATTATAATTTTTAATTAGTTGCAAACTTCAGTGTGTCATATGATACAAATACTAATGAAAAGGACTTAATTAAAGTTAAATATTAAAAAAAAATCGTTAAGGAATGAAAATAGCACAAACAGACGATAGTAATAGTGCACAACACACCACTTTCTATGCGTGAAGTGACTTGAAGAATTCCGTCTTCTCCAAGTACGTGTGATGAAAAGAGTTTGCCAATGTCCCAAAGGCCGCCTCAACACATTTAGAGTCCTTCTGAAGATCACACAGAACATTATACGTGCATGTCCAAAACTGAATGGCTTGTGTATGTGTAAATAGTGCAACACTGGCTTATAGATTCTTTCATTTAAGATGTAAGCAAATCAAGTGAATATCTTTTATGGCACAATGAGAAAACGTGGTTAGCCATATATGTCACAGCTAAACTTATCATGTGCAGTCAATTTTGCACTACCAACTTACCGCAGAGCATTCAAAGTACTTCATGTTGTTTTTCTCTGCAAATGCTTGCCCTTCTTTTTGGGACACCACCCTGCTCTCTGTCAGGTCTGACTTGTTCGCAATTAAAGTGACTGTAATTCAGAAGATATCGATTATATGAACAAGTGCCGCGGAGCGACAGCGCTCATAACTAATTTAACGTCACGCAGTGTGAGATTCTACGTCAAACCCTGTAGCACAAATGTGTTTCACATACGTCGAAACAGTGGAAGGCACAAGTATGACAAATCAGGAACCTTCTCGAACAGGAATGTTCGGTGGATCGTATAAGGTCCACGCCCACAGATGTCGCGGCGGTCTACGTTTAAGTGTCTTAATGATTAAAGATGGATCGCTCATGATACCTCAGTAGCCCCCCCCCCCCCCCGTCACAAATTATTGAGACGAATAGTACACCTGCGCGCCGACCCACATTCCACCAACCATTTACATCACCAAAGCTACAGCGGCTGAAATAGAGAGCCATCGCCACTGTATAATAATTACCGCAGTAGAACTACACAGCCCACCCACCACAATCTCCGACCCACCCACCCCCTCCTCAACTGCTTGGCCACATGGCAATGCAAACAACTGACGTTTACATCGTAAAATACTGACAGTCCACAGAATGCATAGCGAAATTATAGGATTTAAAGGACATAAACTTCTCAACGCAATTTAGCATTTTGAATTTACGTAACATTGTAGCGTCATCATTCGGCATTAACTAACTTCTACTCACGCAGAAGCCGGCAGTCAATATCTATTCTAACAGTAAACAAACTCCATAGTTAACGCCCTCTTGAGGGTCAAAGTTTATACCGCACTTACTCTCGCATAGTCACAGAAAGTAATTTCGATGTTCTTATTCAATAAAGCCATAAAAATGGTAGTTTCATGATGAAGACAAAAAGTATTCATCGCCGGTCAGACAATGTCCTCAGAAAATGTCTAAAATCTGCTGTGCCATTGACGCTTTGACGCTCACAATTTCGACACAGTGAGGCTTATCCTACAATTGATTGCATACATCCGACTATTCACGGCGCTCAGGGTCAGCGTTTAGATTGTGCCGCCAATTCTGCATTTCCTCGTATGAGTCCGTTAAGTACGGAGGGAGTTCTCCTTTTTAAAACACTCTGACTTACTGACCTTTAGTGAACGGCTCCTACAGTTCGCATCCCCAACTCTTTTCTGACTTACCGCCCGCCACGTTCGAAATCGTGACGTAACGTCGAGCGGTTAAGATTTCGTGTCGCCGCCAACCTGTCGATGCACTCGCACTTCTATCGCAGCACGACGGACTCACGATTGGCGATTTCTACAATGCATCTGACTCACCTCAATGACTAGAACATTCAGGAAGCTTTACGTTGCCATATGCTGTATTTCAGTTCCTAGTGCCCCCTGGCTACCTAATACTGATATTCGTTTTTGTGATGGAGACTTTTTCTGTAGTCCACTTTTCAACAGCTCTAGCGGGATAGCGGCGACTATCATATTCGTAACAGGACATCGATAACTAAGACAACGCAGGGATCGCTGTTTATCTATAAGTGAAAAAGAAAAAAACAATTGTATTATCATCAGAGATATACAAACAACACAAATAATGAATTTTCGTAATGTTTTTAATTCTAGCACTAATTATATAATCAACAACGAAGCTAATGCTATATTTGATTTAACCTAATTGTACTATAACTAATCTGCATTTCACATTTTCACTATTTTCGAAATGGGTAACACGGAAATATACTAACATATTCTCAATTCTAGGTCAAATAAACATTCGATGACATCACAGTCGTGATGTATAAACCTCGACCTACTCATGCTACTGCGAAGGGATAGATTATACAAAGATTCCGCTCCTACAGTCTTCATATGCAAAGAATATTATTAAAAACAGAGATATCATGTGCAGAGTCACATATCGAGCCAAGACTGCGGATATGTGCATTTATTATGGTTATAGAATTTTTGTCTATATTAAACTGGTATTGAATGAATTACAAAAACTAATTGTGAATAAAAATATAGTACAGAATATAGATACTATGCAGCACAAAAAGTGAAGATTCAACGACAAAAAATAATTATTATTAAACTTGTGTTGCGTGCGTTGGCTCGCAGGAAGTGCGCTCCGTGCATAGAGGAGAAGATAAGATGATGACCATGGCAGCGCTTGAGATATTTACAGGGAATATGCATGAGTATTACTAATATAGAACTGTGACACATTCAAAATGAGATGCTGATCAAACTAATTATATAGCATACCATCACGTGTAGGTCTTGGAAATGGCTGATTCATCTTTGAATACTAACAAGACTAGTCTTACCGACCATTGAGTCACTATAATTAAAAATATATTCTGTAATGCATATATTACAAAATATATATGTCAATTATGTTACTAGCTATAATAATATAGAATTATCCTATTTTAAGCTACACATCCCTATAAAATGATATGTACAGATATTGCACATTGGGATTCATGACAATATGACGTTTCAATATGTGATCCTACTGTCCTTGGGCTGCAATCATTCATAGTTTGGAACCCTAGCTAGGTTGCATTTTGTGGGGATAGAGAGAGACATGAAAATCTACATGGGTCTTCTTCAGGTCAGGTCAACTAGGAGTAGGATTGGGCCACCCTTGCCTTGGTTTGGGAACTTGGCTAGGAGGCAGTTAGGAGTTCAGCAACCCGGATTAATTTAGCACATTTGCGAAAAGGCAATGGCTGGAGGTACGGCAGCCGTATCTCCAATTTACGAGGCTGGAGGTGCGGCAGTCCATTCGCTTTCATACAAACGAGACAAAGATGGCGGTGGCCAATTCAGATTTTGAAATAATGCATTGGGAAATAAATTCATGATTTGAGAGTTTTGACGAGCTAAAAAACACTCGGATTAGGTATGAAAATGAACATTTATATTGTAAACTTTACACAAATGCCAAAAGGGACTTAATATTCAACGAACGACGGCTGCCGTACCTCCACAGGCTCCAGCAACTTTGTTGTAAAAATGAGGGCTGGGGAACAGTGTACTGTAGATTACTAGACTGTAGTAGTGTACTACTAGACTACTAGTGTAGACTGTGACTGTAGCTCTAGAACTATATAGTATATAGCCCTTCGCTCCGCCACAGGCATGTGCATGGTAGAGCGAAGGGCTATAGACTATGGAGTATAGTTCTAGAGCTACTGACACTGTGAACGTACTACTACTAGTAGTAGTACTAGTAGTACATAGTGACTATATAATATATAGTGTATCACGACACGACATTACTGCTCGCACAACATCGCTTATCGTATCTGTACCTGTACTGGTACGTACGTCGACGCAGTCAAACTTGACTATTATGCGACGGGCTAGCCTAGCTCTAAGTCTTTGCTATAGGCTTAGGAGACCGTTTTTGACGTTATAATATACGTACTTATATACTTCTGTGTATATTGACGTTAGTCACACAGCCTGGTCGAGTTAGCCTAGCTCTAGTACTAATTATAGTAGTACTAGTAGTACTAGTAGTAGTACACAGGATAAATTCGAAATAATACGAATGTCTTCAATAGTAGTACTACTATTAGATCGAGCTAGGGCTAGCCTAGCTCTAGTACTATAGCCCGCGGATCACTGCCGCAGGGCTATAGCACATTATGCCATAGATGTAATCTAAGCAAATGGTCGAACTGATGTGACCAAAAATAGCTCTAGTAACTATAGTCTATAGAGTATAGTACTAAGTATAGGCCGCGTACGTACGTTGCCGCTGGGCGCGTACAGTATGTTGGCCATGCCGCGGCAACTGTAGCTACGCGGGCTATAGTTACTAGAGCTAGGGCTAGCCTAAACCGACCAGGCTCCCCGACTGTTACACGTCGTAGGACTGTCGACACGCCAACGTAGCTAGTGTTAAGCGAGAAAGAAACTTGTGGCTCTAGTACTATAGCCCGCGTACATTGACTGCCGCAGGTCAATGTACGCGGCCTATATAGTACTAGAGCTAGGGCTAGCCAGGCTTTTATCGTGATGATCGTAATTTGATGCCCATAAATAATGATTACTACATTTGCCATACCTAATATAACACACTTAGCTCTTAGTATACGAGGCATTTTCTTTTTGAATATGATAAAAAAAGTATCTTTGGTCAAGCAAGCCGCATTTTCACAAGAAAGCTGAACTGTTTTGTTTTGGTAACAAGAATGTGCGGCACTTTCGGAAAGACCGTGTTTTCATTGGTGGTTGTTCACATTTGTAGTATAATATTTACGTTTTCAACCAATCAGCATCTTGTGTAATATTCGGCGCAGTTACCAAAACAAGACGAGGAGCGAACAGTACACTCTACGAGTCTACAGAGTACAGTACTACTACTACTACTGCATGAAGATGTTCGTATTATTTAGAATTGATCCTGTGTGTATTCACTGTATTGTGCAAACCTGTTTCACAAGCTTACGTTTGCAAACTCGCAGTTTAAACGTGATGCCTAATTTAATACTACGCCTCATGCACCAACATGTCATTCACGCCACCCGTAATTATATTCGCACAGAGACTTAATTCACAGTTCACTATCATCACTCAGTTCACTATCATCACCCATAGATTTGGAGACTGTAAATCTCCCGTGGCTTTGATGACCACGTAAAATGGCGGTCCCGTCTCCAGAAATACTAACCAATCGGGACGTAAAAGAACCACTGAGGGCGCAAAAAGAACTGGCTGTGACCACCCTCAGTGCCATTTGGCTAAAACTAAAAGACTGACTACCTCAACCGGCTGCTGAATAAGAATAATAAGAATAAGAAATAAGAAGAAGAAGGAATAAGAAGCATAAGATGACATAGATGATGTCTACTGGGCCCATGGGGTCATGCTTGGCGAGGTCATCGA